CGGGCGAGACACACACACAAGCCAAATGAAATAGGAGAGCCAGAGAATGCAGTATATGCACCGACACACACTCTTCCTTATATACATGTATATAGCGGCTCTATGCTGCTGCAACTGCGAAAATGCGCCTAACATTGACTCCATCGCGTATAGGTACCTATACCTACAAGTCGAGGAACAAAGACGTTCTCTGTAGGTACATAAATATATATAGGCGTAAGGTGAGGTACAGGCAACTCTCTCTCTCCCTCTCTCTTGGGCTGCACATTATTAGCACACTCCAATGCGGTGAAAAGCTCTAGGTTAACAGCGTAGGTATATTTATGCGAGGCCTGCCGGTTGCGCGAGGACAGTAGACCGCTGGGAGACTATATATATGCACGTGTGTTACGTGAATGCGCTGCCACACGTCTCTCTGTCTCTCTTTCTCATCCCGCGGTGTAATAATGGGGCTGAGCTTGCGAAAGTAACTTCTTATATACGTACACGGGAATGGGCTATATAATCTCTGTACCTATGGGTAACGTTACAATTATAGCCTGTACACTTTTTTACTTTATTCATTTCTAAAAATTTCACAAAAAAAAAAAAAAAAAAAAAAAACTAGCTCTCGAGCACAGAAGTCGAGTTAAAAAGTGTGGTCGTGATTGCGCGAAACAAATAGCAACAGGTAGAAGTACGCGCACTTGATATATAAATACATAAAAAACAACTGCGACAAATTTCAAAGACGCGTATGTGGAAGAAAAAAAGGGACGAGCAAAGTATGTTTAATTGGCAATTACTTTAATTGCCGCGCGATGCGTTAAACGACAGATGAGGGAACGTGACGGCAAGGATTCGCGCGACGAAATTAATTACTAGAGAGAATCTGTTTGCACGTTGCATTTGTGACTCAGCAGCGCATATATATACCTGCGTACACACTTTGCTCTCTCTTTCTCTATTTCTCGCGTTCGACAAATTTCTATGCAACACTGCCTCGTTACGTGTACCGATCGAGCTATGACTCGCTGAAAAATTATTTTCTCGCGATTTTACGCATCACCGCGAAAAACAAGTTGGAGGGGGAAAAAAAAAAGTTCTGTAAACGCACACATCCAGACATCGAATGAATAAGTCCATTACAACCTATACGGTATGATCTCAACAAGTGTATTACCGATCCTACCGCTTCCAACTCAAGCACGACTCAAAATGGTCTATGACGAAAATGACGATGCACCGACTCTTTCTTCCTTTTCCGTGAGATATAAGACGTGTATTTCTTGACGAGTTCGTGCATATCGAGTGACGAGTACGAGGAAGCGTTAATTTGGTTTTTTTCTTAACCAACAATATACTTGGATCAGTTTTTATAATAATACACCTGCCGTCTAATTAACGCTATCGGCGTTTTAACACTTTCAAGACAGTCATCAATAATAATAAGCCCAAAAATTGGCTTTTAAATAAAGTGACAAATGAGTATTTTTTTTTCAGAATACCAATGAAAGGATTGTACTTTTACAACAGCATCCAATTGACGAGACCAACGAGGGGGACCAAAAAAGCTCCTCTCGAGTAAAAAAAAAAAAAAAAGTAAGCACCGAGAGTATCTGGGCCACCAGCCTGTATTGTTTGTTCTGGAGCAGCGATCCGATTTAAAATTTGCCCACCGTCTTTTCCGCCGTACGCGGGATAGGCGCGACGAGGCGCACACCGAGCGAGGATAAAAGCCGGCCGGCCGGCTTTTCGTTCTATCTTTGGCGCGAAGCACCGGTTCCGGCTGTAATGCGCTCGCTTATTGCTCAATCGCTGCACGCACCAGAAGGAGGGGGAGGTCGACGACGCAACATCCATCGGGGTTGGTAAGTGTGTGTGTGTGTGTGTGTGTGTGTGTGTATAAGTGGTAGCAGTGACACCCATACCATATACCAAGCGCCCGCGTGTACGGTTAAACGCGCTCATTATTTCGGACACGCCGGCTATATACAGTGCGCATTCGTCGTCCTCCTATATATATATTTACACGGGCAGGTCGCCTGGTGTGTACTTATTTCCGTACCGGCAAGCTCTATACGTGTACATATGTATATATATTTGTGTAGGAGCACGACTCCGGAGGAGGCTATCCTCTATATTTGCACTTGATGCCAGTGTGTATATTTACGCGCTGCTGTTGAACAGGAGGAGAGAGAGAGAGAACGACCATTTGTAGTTTTGTCGAAATCAAAGCTCTCTCTTTCTCTCTCTGGAGTTTCTTGTATTTCGCATTCGAGTTTTTCTGGTTACATTAAAGCACTGGGGGGTGGATTTTTTTTTTTTTTTTCAAGATGACAATAGTTGCCGACAGACAAATTGGTGCAGGTATATAGAGATAGACAGGAGAGAGTCGTGAGCTGAACATTTACCCTTTACGCAAGACAATGAAGGAGACATACAATACAAAAGTGTAGACCATACTTGTATTACGTGCACTTTGTAAAGATGCGCTTCATCTGCAGGTCTAATGCTCTTTCATGTACAGCCAGTCGTCATGACGAGTATATAGGCTCTCTTTATGGTATTGGAGCTGCGAGTATCAAAAGTTATGGCGAAACGTGCACACAAGACGCGGGAAAGAGAGAAAAAAAAAAAAAAATATGGAGATTCGGTCGAGGAGATCCCGATACGGCTGCACCCGCCATACAATTATATTATTATTATCATACCCAAGGTGTCCGTACGTATCATAATAGGTACTTAACATCGATGAGCCTTCAACATCCATCTGCTGTACACGTGCAGTGATACCTGCGAGTGTTGAACCTCCGATTACAACATCGCCGCGCCCATCCCGTGGGTACAGCGGTACCGAGGCCACGACTGCGTATATATTATCTACATCATCGAGCACCGAAGCCTCGTACCTTCTAATGACTTTCTCGATTCAACCTGCACACACGTAAGTTGGGAAAAACCAAGAGACTATTAAAGTACGCGATCATCGCACTTTCGTGTCTCCTCCGTTCTTCATTTCCACGAAAAAGATGGCCAAGAGGGAGGAGGGGGTAAAAAAAGCTTCCACCCCTAGTTCCCCGGCTTTTTTTTTTTTCCTTCCTCCTCCCCATCGCTGCAGCAGCTCTCGACGCCGCGTCTACCAGGCACCCCCAGGTATATCAGAAGCAGCATTTTTCAAGCTCACGTCGCTAGGGGCGACGGGCGCGCGTGTATACACACCCAAGGGGGAGAGAGCGCCTATACGTCATAGGCGAGGAGGAGGCGAAAATAGGTCACGCGTACAGTCAATGCTGGGTGCATATATACATGTATAGACGACGAAAATCCCTCCCGTGACGTATGGAGTCGGACGCGCCCCCGAGAACTCCGCGAAGCCACACACACACACACACACACACACAATTTCGGGAAAATCTATACGTATAACGAGTATTACGTATGGAGGAGACGCTGAATGGAAGCGTTATTTGACATCGAGGGAGAGCTTGCACTGTCACATATGAGTATACATATATATACGCGCGTGCGCGCACACGAGAGAGCTGCGGTGATAATACATCGGTTATGGCAATGTACTATATACGGGGTGGGGAGGGGGCGCTGCTTCGCCGTGGGTGTGTTGTACATGTATATGGTTACGTGAGCGGCGAGGAAAATGGGCCAACTGTACAACAACGGCTCGGGGGAGGGGAACGAGGTCAGGAAAATTAAATTTTCTGATTAACGGAGCGCTCGCGCCTACATCGTTCTCTCGTCTCCAAGTATATGTATGAGTACGAGTTTTTGTTGCCGTATGGAAAANGACGAAATTAACCCCGAGCATACGAGGCATTTTGCTTCATCACGCGGAACAATTGTTATTATTATTATTATTATAACACAATTAATTCCCTGCGCTCTCCACTTTAATGAACGATCACAAAAAGCGAGTAGATAAAGGGGGTGGGGGTGGGGGGGGGGACAACGAGTGCCGGGCTCGTAAGTACACAATGTATACACAATGCCCTCTCCCTTCTAGGTTCCGTGGGCTTGAATTATTCAGATTCGAGTTGGCTGATTAATTAATTATGCTGATTGGCAGATGCCAACCTTCGAGCGCGCGAGACGACGAAATATTTTCTTGTTGTTTGTTCTATTATGGTCGCGGTGATTGTGTGTATACACGCTACTGATGGACCTATTTGTGTGCACATAATTGTGGCTATGACAATAGCTTGCAACGACCGATTAATTACATGTATAATACTTTGGATGAAAGAGAGAAAGAAAAAAATTCTTATCTAATCGGGGAAAGCGAACGGGTGGGCACTCTTTTTTTTTTTTTTTTTACATCAATGAGCAATTGTCGTTGTGAGTGAAAAAAAGGCATTTTGGCCCCGCGAAGGAAAAGTTTCGCACGCGGTGCAACGTGCGTGTATTGTGGTCGCGACTTTGGACGTTGGCATTGGGTAAGGAGCACCCCGCGCAAGACCGCTAATTTTGTTTAACGTGCATATAGGCGATATTTGGCACGAGTCACTTGCGCTCGCAAGTGTTATAATTAATAGTACGCCGGCAAAGTTGATTTTTATTTTGATTTCTCGGTTTGTTTTCCTCCCGTCCAGTACCCATATAATATTTTATGTACGCGATACAGCTGCAAGCAGTCCCTCTTTATCTCCATGTACCTGCTAAATGCGTTTAAAACCCAACGATTGTGCGGTACACTTGTCCAATGCACGAGAGAGATAACGGGCGGTTAACGAGTTTATATTAATTAGAAGAAGGATAAAAAGCACGCTCCCAAGGCGATGATGTGATTCATCAGAAAAAAAAAAAAAAAAAAAAAAAAAAAAAAAAAAAAAAAACACTTACCTGATGCCTTAGCATACCTAATTGTACATCATCTTTTGCCAATGGCATTTTTTCGCACTTTTGTTTATCAACCGAGAGGTTTGATGTAAAAGTAAAAAAGTTTGATGAGCGCGAAAAAATTCCAGGCGGCAAAAGTGCACGAGGAGGAGGAAAACAAGACGCACCTCTTGGCCGGACAGCGCGATGACGACGTCGACCTCGTCCTGTTGTTGCCTGTGCTCGGTGACCTCGGCCTGTATCTCCCGTCCGTTGTAGGTCAGGTAGACCTTCTGGCCGGACACGAGTCTGGCGCCCGTGACGCTGGCGAAGCCGGGCCCTATGAGCTCCCTGTCCGAGTACTCGTTTTTCGAATCCGGTGGCCTGGAGCCACCCGCGGCCGGATCGAAGCGCACCGAGTAGCGCGTGTCCGGCGTTATGCTCAGCCCGTTGAGCTCGGGCTGTTGGGGCGAGGCCGGCGTGTTGACCGCACTGATGACGCCACTGTAGTAGTAGCCGTCCTCGCCCGGGGCGCACACCCGCGTCCCTATGATGCTGCGCTTGGCCAGCCGCTTGCCGATCGACATGACCTGGTAATCGGCGTCGCTCGTCTGGGCGTGCTGGCGCTGGTAGCGTCGCCTACGCCTGACTATCGGACGGCCCGGCTGGGCCAGGCCGTTCGCGTTGCCGGCTGTCGTTATGACCGAGCCGTTGCCGGCGCGCTGATGCTCCTCGAGGACTTCCGTGCTTGGGCTGGGTGATCGCGAACCGGACCACCGGCGCGCGATTCTCTTGCTGGAAGGAATAACGTGAAACCAAAGAAACCAAAACCACCAACCAACCACGACACTTTTGTTACTTTTTCTTTACTACCATCTACTATCTACTATACTTATCGAGGATAAACCGCACTTTTTTTCAACCACTCGTATTTTTTCGTACCACGACACGATGCACTTTTCCAACTTTGGGTCTCTTTTTTTTTTTATTTATTTTCCGTCACTTTACACGCGATTGCACGTATAATATGTTGCAACTGTATTTTACGTCTCGGGCGTGACAGGGAAAAAGGGACACTCCGACGACGTTCGATCACCGGCGTTCCACTGTAAGTACGATACATATATGTTTACAACCACAGCGGCTGATTCAAAACACTGACCTAGCCTCTTACGCGTGTGTATATAGTTGCCGGTCGACGACTGTTTCTCCGTAAATATGTATTTCACTCCCGTCCAGTACAGTCTCACCACTCTTTCCTTTATTTATATTTGTATGCTTGTTCACTGTAATAATTATATTCTCTCACTCGACCGGTTGCGCTAAAAAATTTCGGAGCACTCGGATCGTATTTCCTCTGTATATTTAATTTGTGGTATTGCAATTTAGCACAAGAGAAATCGAGAGAGGGTATATATACGGAGGGGGGGAGGGAAAGAGGAAAACGGAGCACTGTCGCGCACTATTCCGGTGGCTGGTCGTTCGTCAAGCTCCCCGTTTGGCCCTGCAGGAGGCCGGAAACGCTTTGGTGCTGGTGTTGTGGTAAGTCGGGTTCGTTATCGGCCGACGGGCCGCTTTTAAGACACGGGGAGGATACCTCGTAACCTGCTCGGGTGCTGCTGCCTCTCGCCCGCGCCAACATAATAGAACGCGCATCTAAGAGCCGCTGCTACGAATGCGAGCTGAGCCTGCCCCCGGGAGCAGAGGTTTTGCTGTTACTTCAAACGAAGTCGCCAATCTGTCGAGCGTACGGCTACACACGGTCCTTCCTCCCCGGCTGTCTAGGACGCACTGTTGCTTTGCACCTCAGACCGAGCGGTTGCCTGCAGAGGACGCCCCGGACTACGCGTAGCCGCCGATTCTCTCTCTCTCTCTCTCTCTTTCTTTCCGCGCTCCTCCTCCTCCTCCTCCAACGCTTATTGTGTGTGTGTGTGTACCTATGTATACATATATGCCAATGTATATATATATATACCCGCGCACGTGTTTTGCGGCCCGTTCCCGGTGCAAGGGTACAGATGTCTTTTAAACAATTTGCGACAGTGTGCGCGCGTATGGGCGAATGTATTTGAGTGATGTTGCGTATTCATATGTGTGCAAAAACCAAATGAGTGTATCGGAGAGTGATAATGATCTGATTGCGAGAGCAAACCGGGAGGTACTGAAGTACCGAGGCTGTCGTCGCCCCGCCACCACCGCTGCGCTTTAAACATACCATGTGCATATAGACGGGCAGGCGAGAGAGAGCGAGAGATGTTTCTTTCTGCGTATACAGAGCGCGCACGCTCGCCCCCGCCCCCGCGCTCTCACCGCCGGCCGGCCGCCCTCCCGGGAAGAAAACAGCTGATGATAACAACAACCGGGCCAGCCGCGCCACGATTGGCTCTGGCAGCTGACCGACTCGGCTCCCACTCCGCGACCCGATCAACGCGAGCCTCGCGAGTCGTGGCGCGCATAGAGGGGAGAGTCAGGGGAACTGTACCACTACTCCTATCCCCAACGTACACCCCTTTCGTGCGCTCTCGCTTTGGCACGCGATGTCCCAATGTTTTTTTATTACCGCTCCCCCCTCTCTCTCTCTTGCAGCTGATGTTGCATATACACGACGATTTCCCCGTCGGCTTTCCATATATGCAGCGCAGACCTCTTGGTTGCATTTTCCTTTGTCTCTCTGCTGCGTGGTGCATATAGTGCACACCAATATAGATATAACATCAAGAAAATATTATACATGTAATAAGTCGAGGGAGCAACGGGGAGTGGAGGCTGGGATTTTTTCATTTTTGCCTCCACTTGGTCATCGGCTTCTCTTTCTCTCGTTTTTCATTGCACGGGCGAGTGCATGTGTTGCCGTGGGCAACTTTGAAGGGGGATGCTTCTTTTATTTTTTTATTTATTTTTTTTTTCTTCCATTGTGTGTCACCGAGAGCTGGAGCTGCACATGGAAAATCATACGCTTCTCCTTTCTTTCCCCTTCCACATGGTACTCCCCCCCCCTCTCCCAGCGCGCTTCTCCTACTTCCGAGTCCTTTTTCTCCTCTCCTCGTATCGCGAGCGGCGCAAAAAGGGGGGGGGGGGAAGGAACAGCCGGAGAAATCTCATCCGCAGCATGGGCTGGCTTTGTTTGTAAACATAGCCCAGAGAGTGTGTGTGTGTGTGTATGTGTATGTACAACATTTTATGTGTTCACATTTACACAAGTGTTGGTGCGTCCCTTTAACTTTATGGTGGCCTACTGTGACGCCAAAACAACACACTAACTCACAATTTTCTTATTTGTTTCCACACCATCAATGATAATTATGGGAGTACTTAGTGTTACAGAATTTGAAAGATCATAAAATCAGTTAAGATGCAACGTTTGTTTTTTGTTTTTTTTTTTTTGGTTTAAAAGTTATGAACAGGTGTGCAAAATATATTTATGCCCAGCAGTCCTGCCGTTAGTTCATCCTAAAATAAACAACAAGCTGCTCTTCACTATAGGTATGTTGTGTGCATAAGTACACTCATAGTATAATTAAATATGAATGCGGATCATCATTGTTTGAGATGCATTTGGTTTGTATAAAATATACGCGTTTTATTTCACCCGATGCGGCACAAGCAATAATATTTTAGCATACAAACCTCGGTTTATGAATATGCGAATGTCGAATCGAGTTTATAAATTTTAATTTATCGTGTTAACAAAAAATCATTTGGATTCTGCTCTTGACCTGAGCCAAGTATAGTTACAGCTGATTTACCCACAAACCCCGTAACAGTAAGTATAATGTGGATTTTACGCTTATAATGAGCGACAATTTTACGATTTTCAAAAAAAAAACCTGGTCCATCCCAACCGGATCGAAGCAACGACGAAAACTGCAGCTTCCGGAACAAAGAAAGTGACTCTGGCTCGTCCAAAAGATAACTCGTAATGCGGCATCTACTCGTACCGACCTTCGCAATAAAATGCAACATCCTCGATAATCGTTGAAATTCTGAAACGTAAACGAATAAATCTCCGTAAGTACAATATATTCAGGTATTGAAATCTGTCCAATCGAGTTGTTGATGGTGGAATCTGCATGGGCGGACAGTGGCACATACACACGCGGGCCAGTCGGCAACAGAGAGGGACAAAAGCAGCCGAGCCGGCAACAGTCGCGTGCAGTCACTGCACCGTTCAGCTGACTATACCAGCTGATGCCGTGAAAAATGGCCGCCGTGACGACACAACCATAGCAAAATGCATCGGAGGAGCATGCACTTTTTCTTGACGCACAATCTATACGTGCATACACCTCCCCGTGCAGGTTGATGGATAATCTGTGTGCGTCTCTCTACATTTTCTTTCCATGTTCCTCTTACGTAACTATATTATCATCTGTTTGGTTTTGCAACGGAGTCATTGGCAACGGTAAAATATGTATCTTTATATATTACAGTCGTGGTCATACATAATATACGGTTAACCTGTATACATGTTCGCAATGGCACCAGCGACGACGTCGTAGCGAGGCTTTCGTATTTTTTACGAAATGGATGTTTAGTAGTGACATAACTTATACATACTCACGGCTGCGCACTTTTCATTATACATATATATGGATGATGGTGTGATAGAAGATGACGCAGTTTTGCTACGTACAGCTCGTCTGTATGTGTATACTTGTATTATGCGCTCGTGAAAATCTGTGGTAGATAATAGTTAATCCTATATTGATAATTGTTATAACATCACTTTTTGGGAAAATGTGCGAGTATCCGCGGAAGTTGCAACTTTATTTAATATTAAATATCTCAAAATGGCAGCATTTATTGAATGGGAGAGAACAAGTTTGATAAGCGTAGATGATTGTTTTCTTTTTAAGTCCATCGTCTTTGCGCAATTTTTACCAGCAGGAAAATATTGAAGCCAAAATGAACACTCAAATGCACGCGTTCTTTATGAAACATAAATAACAGTTTGATACTCACCCGCTCTACAGATGTTTTGTTCCATTTCCCCTTGCGCACATCATAATGTTATTTAATTACTATTTTTAACGATAAAAAACTTTGCCACAATTGTTTGATTATTCAATCGAACTTTAATTAGCTATTCTACATTTTGCGGACGTTCAATGATTTTCTTAAAATCGAGAAAAAACAGTAGAACTTTTAACAATGGTATTCAAAGAGTCAGGAGACGGTTTGTATTTTTCGATATTTTTTACAACGAATTTTTTATTTATAAAAAAGAGCCTACATTCATTACCATCCTTAAGAGCTTATGTTAATAGCTGATACTTAGTCAATAACAAAATTTGAGGCTGAAAATATTGAAAAATTTAACACAGTTTCCTGACACTCTAAATAGTTATTGTTGAAAGTTTTACTGCTTTCTCTATACATTGTGAGAAAATCATTGAACCTCTTTAAAAGACAATTTATTTTCCTGTAGTGCAGTGCATTGGATGTAAGTAGTAATTTAAAAATCACTTTACATCATAATTAATGCAAAATTAGCTTTTAGGAAACTTTTGTTTCAAAACACCCGAGTCCAATTCTACATCACACATGTATGACTCGGAAATCGGAGCCTGCACCTCTACTTCAATATTTTGCTAGCGCGTGCCGATGCAGTCTCATTCATTCGGCTCTTTATCCTTCATGTACTCGTACCCATACCATTATTATTCCGATTAATCATGAAGTGACGCATCCACGTCCAAATCAGGCCGATTTCCCCGTTAACTGTAATCTTTGTTCGCAGCTATATAGCCAAATAGCTACAAAGGCGCGACGGAAAAAATGTCGAACAAAAAAAAAAAGGGGGGGGGCGGGCGAGGTAAACGCGTACCATATTATTATTTACTCCCCTGCCCCTCCGAAAGACAAAAGTTGGAAAAACAACTTGTTTTCGGCAGTACTTATCGCGCGTGCATTTATTTCATCATGCACGGGGAAAGCGAGGGGTACAAATAATACTCGTGTTCGAAATAAAAAGGGTCCCCGAGACGATCGCTATATTATACGGACACTCCACACATATAGAAGAATTAGTCCATCATAAGCTCACAAAGCCTTTATTTTATTTTATTTTTTTTTTTTCGACGAGCTTGCTTTTTGTCTGATAGGTGTATAAGCGCGAAGGGACACACCCATAAAAATTTGACCTACTTTTCGCGCTTTTCTTTGTTTCCACCCCCCCCCTTTTATAATGTACGAAGAAAAAGAGACGATCGCGTTTTCTTTTATTTATATACATCCAAAACCCGCACAGTGTTTCTCGATCGTCGTGACGATTGATTCTCCGTATTTTTAGATCCATCGACAAAATTAAAATCTAAAATTAGCCGAATCGCCAAAAAAAAAAAAAAAAAAAAACCCCACCAATCTCCTTGACGGCTTGCAAACCACCAGCTTATACACTACTATACAAGCCCACATGCCATACGAAGGAAAACAACAAAGGAAAGGCCTATTGGTGGATATATATATATATATATGTGGTTGCGCAATAATAAGCGTGTATACGTTCCTGCTCTCCCCATGTGCTTCTCGATCTATACACGGTAAATCTATACGCTTGGGATTTGACCTAAAAATACACATTTCGTTACCGGGTTTTGCGCGACCTTTAACCATATTGTGTACGATGTAGCTAATGAAGCCTTTTGCAAAGTTTGTATACCGCACGAACGAGTAATTAAGGAGAATCGTTTGATATGCGCGCGCGAGCCCGAGGGTGTTTTTAATTGGAAAACTTTCGAGGTACCAAATTGCCCTGTGATGGGTTATCATCGTCATTTTTTTTTTTTTTTTTTTTTTTCTAGCTAATAAACGCCGAGTGACAAAGATTTTTTGGGTGCTCGATTCATCACTCGATTAGACGGGAAGGGGGGGGGGAGATTACAGTAGAACAGTGCGCGTTAAAATTCTTCGTCTGAAAAATGTTACGGAACGGGTTTCGTATATATATATCATGGACCAACCTGTCAAGTGACCATCACCTGCTTTGGGTATATAATTGGTCCGAGCTGTAATACGTATGTAAATCGGTTACGCGTAACGAGCTGAATCTGCCTACTATACGGCCAAATTAACATATACAGGTGGATTCATTAAAATTTATCTAATTAACCAATAGATGTACATATGTATACGCTTACCACGTGTACATTCATTCGAAATAGAGTTATCAAGATAAGCGATGAGACAGGCTCGAATAAACTAACGTTGTCGAGTATATAAATGTTATGCATTAGTTTCTCGCTGTAAGTGCTTGAGCCCATGCATGACGATTTTTGAAAGAATCGAGGATCGCGAAGAAGATGCGCAGCTTGTGATTTTTCAATCGGAAGTCCAATGGTATGCGTGTGTGTGTGGGTGTGTAGGTATTGGCATTCAGATATATAACCTACCACCGTGCAAGGACTCTATATACACTTTGTTGCCAAGGCTACCTGTCGTTGAATCGAAAGTTGATTCCTATGGACGCCACGACGGTGACCTCCAGTCGTATCCTGCGTCGTTTTTTTCTTTGCGATAATTGCACAACATTTGTTTGGTTGAAATTTTGGAAAAAAACTCTTTTTTAGAATCACGAAAGAGTCATCCCGAATTGTTCGATCAAGTTCGCATATTAATTTCTTTAAAAAAAAAAAAAAAAAAAAAAAAGCACTTTTTGACACCCGCTATAAGAACTTTGTGCGTTGGTATACCTGTTAACTGCTTGTTGGTCACTCGTTGGGTGTACACTTAAATATAAAAGCTGTTTTTTAATCAATCGAGTTAAATACATGGTGTGGAGGTGTGCATTCGTTGATTTTGTTAAAATTCAAAGTAACGAATCGTACATCGTAAATGAATCATTCATCCTCCAGTGATCCTTTTCGGTGAGCTATGCGGTGAGCAACTCCGACGCGCGTGTGAAAATGTCGCGACATCAAATCACCAAACAAAATATTTATATCATCAATTGGATGAGACCATATGTGACGTTGGTTTTGTTGATTGCAGTTTTTTTTTTTTTTTTTTTTACTTTGGATGTAATTGATATATCCATAGGCACTCGTTTCAAACTTGAATACGTATACATCTCAAATAACCAAATTCACCTCGTCAACAATGAATCTACACCTAATACACAGTACTAGGGAAAAACCATCACCGATGAGTCGTCCCCCATATATACGTTTAATTTTGCACGTATGCCGTTAAAAAACACATCTCAGCCTCTTTATATTACCCCACACACACAACGTTCATACCAAAAAATCCCCACGAATGACGCATGCTAATATCACGAGCGTGTTAGACGCAATAGTATGTACACATACCGATACTTTTAACATTTGTATAAATAGGTATGTGTAAGAACTACATGCTATACGTGTGCTACATACTTACTTACCTATATATAGTTGTGGCTTTTCGCGGACACATTTCGAGAAAGATAATGAGAGTAAGTATATATTATACAATAACGTTGAGTCAATAGTTATGGTGTCCGAGAGCAGGGCCGCATGTATATATATATAGGTAAGCCACAAACGCTATACATGCTTATCGGTAGGTATATAAGTACGCTCCATAGACTGTAATATTGTGCATATATACACAATCTCATTATTTTTCGACTATGGCCGTTCGACCGGTCCTCGCGGGCCACAACACACACACACACACACGTAATATTATCGCAGATATATTTAATAATAGTATATACCATGTACACTCGCACACGCCTTATCGCGCGTTGTTGTTGTTTGTTTTGGTCTTGTGGGAACGGAAATCGTTAATGCCGATAAGTAGACCGAAATGGCCCGTTTGGCTGACCAATGTATCGCTCTCCTCTGCACATACCTATACTTAGGTGTGCACACGTGACGTCGCGTATGTTATACTTACTCGTAGCTTAGTCAAAAATCTGGGGATGGAATCGCAAAAGTAACGTGAATAATATATATTTTTTTGCGCTGCATCGTTATATGAATCGGTAATGGTTCCCATAATATAAGAGGGTTTATCAGTTTTGAGCTCCGCAGGTATGTACTTACTTCAAGTGTATAGTATAGGATATATTGAATTTTAGCGAATAACCGATACTTTGGCAGTATATGTAGAGACCCCGTTGCACACTGCGTCCTTATATCTGCGGTGCGCGTATATTATGCAGTGGCATAGGCCATCAGCGGTGGGGCCCGTGGAATGTAAATTACGCAAAAGCCAAGCCAGGATGTACCGTTTCGATCTATACTCCCTTTCCTCTTCTACTCCTGTTTTATCGGCATCGCGATTTATTGCGGATTTTGCCCGCGTGTTTTCCACAACCTTTTAGAGCGACTATACCCTACTACAGTGGTGTGCACTTTTTTTTTTTTTTTTTTTTTTTTTTTTTTTTTTTTTTTTCACCACTCGAATAATAGGTATTGTTCTTACCTCTGACGAAATGTTGCACACGCGATTGATTTTAGTGGAAAACCGAGCAGAACTCAGTGTCATCATTATTACTAATGACAACCCAGTGACTATATATAGCTCTACTCCATTACCTGGACGTGAATTTTTGGTTGGATTTACGTATAAACGATTAAAATATCTTTGACACGTATTACGTGTACTCGATCGTCTAATCTTTATCACCAACAAAATAATGACACACGCTTAATAGGTATACACGTAATTAAAGTTGTTTTTCTAATTTAAATGGGATTATTGATTTTTACGTTTGGGCATATCATGTTACGATAATCAACCAATTGACGATGATGACTTTTAAATGACTTTCAATTATCCTTCCTCTGACTGATCGGTTTTTAAGTTTTTCGGGAAAATTATCAACTCTTTCGCTGATGCCGTCGTTAAGACGAGGCGAAATTGGTAATTCCGATGAGTGGAATGAAAAAAAGTTGCAAAATTTTTTCAAAACTTCTCGTATGACGATAACTCTTTGGGTGAATCGAATGCGTGTGTTCGCTAACGATGTGCCCGTTAACCTGTCGCAAGAGAGGACACGAAGCGTCACCTGACGTGCTCGGTTCAGACTATATTCTACGTCAAATTGATCGCTGTTCTGCAGTACCGTGAGGAAGCTGTAATTTTCACCGCATCAACGCGATTTTTGGATATTTACAAATTTTCTTCGCATCGCTATAGTAATTATTTGTTATATTACAAGTTTATTTGTGTACTCGTAGTTGTTTCGGAGAAAAAAAAAATTCAAGCACCATTTATCATCTGGATTTCTCACATTATCGATCGACAATTCAGCAATGTTCACGTTTCGACAACGATATCGAGCATCAAATACGCTTAAATATTCACAAATACGTAATTTTTATAGAACAAAGGTTTAATTTATACAAATACAAATGCTAATTCCGTCAAATTAATCAAGAGCGCGCAGTTTCCCGTCAAGGTATTTTTACCAGCTCGTGCATACATCCCGTAATTTTAAGGTACTTTTTTTTCAAGCTTGCCTTGAAATACTGCGTTTGGCAGTCCTAATATGCCATTCTTGATACGGCGCAACAAATTTTATCTCAGCAAAGGCACACGTGATTGTTACGATTTTCTCGAGCCGTGGCTGCAAACTTCCTTTACTTACCGATCGCCGGAACGCAGGAATCGTAGTTCTCTCCAAAAAGTTACCGATTTTTCATCGTGAAACCTGCAGACTCAACCGATCCAAAATCAAAACGATCTCGCATACATACACGCAACAAGGAAAATAATATTAAAAACTGGTTAAAAGCAAAAAAATTGCACGACTTCTTACGCACCACTTTTTAAAGGTAAAAATAACGGCTTGATCTTGTGTCTCTTGCATCCCTCGCACATCCGCTCCCGGTGCATCGGCTCTCGTGTGGATCGCGCTCGATGAAAACAAGCCTTCACGAGCAATAAAGTATACTTTATCGCCCAACTGCATCAGCAGAGCTGCAGAGCATCAACAGCCGTGATGCCTTTATATATATGTATATAAACCCCCGGGCGAGGAAGAGAGCGAGAGCACACGAGAGCACACCACACACAGTAAGTAGGGTAGAGAGAGAGTCAGTCCGCTGTGCTCCAAAAGGCGCGCGGGTTCGTAGCCACTCTTTACAGCTCCACACGCAGTCGATCGCGCTCGGCAAAAGTGAAAAAGAAATATCCAAGTGGTCCGGAAAAAAATATTTTTTTTTTAACCAAGTGTCCCCATAGGCCGAGGAAAGGACAACAGAGATGATGCAGGGAAACGAGGGCCTAGCCGGAGGGTCTTCCACGGCGTAGGCCTCCTCGTCGAGTGCGTGTGCTACACTATATTTATACACACGGAGTAACGTAACGGAGATATACATATATATATAATATACACACACATAGAGGAGTTGCGTGGGGTGTGTGTATATTTATATATATAAGGAAGAGAGCAGAAGAGGGAAAAGCCTGGGAGCCGTGCGAGAATGGAGCTGTCGCTGCCGCGGCCCTTTGGAATGATGCTGGGCCTCCTGGTGGTGGTGATGATGCTGGCGGCTACGGCACCGACGAGGGCCCAGCTCGAGCAGAGGTTACCCACGGCCCAGCAGCTGCAGCTCCAGGCCAATAGGCGCGCCGACTGTCCGATCTTTTGCGTCTGCAGCACGTGGCTGAGGCTCAACAGGGCCTCCTGCACCGGCAAGGGCCTATTCAGCATCCACACTGGTGTTTCCAACTACATGCAGGTGCTCGACCTCTCCAACAATTCCATCAGCCAACTCGAGGACAAGGGACTCTCGGTGAGCTGATGCTGCCCTACTACGCTTTTGTGTGTGTGTGTGTGTGTGTGTATGCGCGTGTCTCTCTCCGCTCATCTTCTGTATACCTTGCAAATATTTATGATATGTGCTATATACATGTATGCATGTGCATTGGCAAAACCCATAGGAGACATTTCTTTTTGGAGTATTATTAGTTGGTGGTCCTCTCTAAGTGAGCTTATAGTATACAGCCTTTAGAGTCGAGACGTGTGTATATATATGTATGTATAGACGAGCGCGTGCGTTTCGTCTCCTCGTCGATCGTTTTAGCCGTCGTCGTCGTCGTCATCTTCTTCTTCCTCCCTTTTTCGCTCTTTGCTGCTTCTCTTCTGCTTCCTCTTCTTTATTTCTACTTGTGTGCTTCTTGTTTGCTTTCGAAGGAGCGTGGGCGAATTGTTGCTGTATAACCGAACTTTACGGTTTTTCTGACCACCGGGGAGAGATCGGTATCATGTATATATACATGTGTCTCGGTCGATCGTCCGTGATGTTTTTTTTTCTACTCCAGCGGATGATTTGACTTTTTTTGCTGCGATGCTGGATCTGCAAGAATTAATTTTTTGTGTGTGCATAAACATTTTTTTTATTTTTAATTTCGGGAAAATCAGCGTGACGTTAGTTTTATCATCGCGCGACATTGATGTATCCATGATAACCGATTGTCAGAGGTGTTATCGATTTTCTAAGCGATAACGCGACCGTGATGTCATCACTGTCTATCAAGTGTAGACAGTTTTTTAATGTTTTTTTTTTTTTATCGAAAGTGGATACGAAAAGGGTATATATACACTACGAAGAAAAAGACCATTAAAATCATATCACGAAAGAGTAATTGTGATTTTCTTTTTCACCGTCACAACAAAGTTACGATGATGTACCCATCAGGTGGCAACCTTAAAATCCTGGGAAGTGTTTATCGAGAGTTAGGTTAAAGATTACGTACTAATGGATTTTTTTTTCCTAAAAATATGAAGGAATCTACAAACGACAATATATTATCGTCACTTATTGCAGCGAACATTGACATTGTGCTGATATCGATAATGATGATGGTTTTGGATTTTCCGAGAATATAGATTTTTCTAACATGATAGTTTGCGGCTGAGTTGAAAGAATTTTTTCAATCTTGGTAAACATAACTTATTCGTGTAAAGAAAATGAAAAATTTTATTCACCGAGAGTTTTCATGAAAAAATCCGAAATTTACTGTTTCCCGTATGGAATCAAGTAAATTGCGATATTTGATCATAAAATTTACGATGAGTGCCAAAATCACATGAATTATCATTACATTAAATCATCGGTATTAATTTTAAGAAAGTTTTACACTGGAAAAAAAAAAAAAAAAAAATTAATGAGAAAGCGTTACGATTCACATTGGAGAGAAAAACGATGATCGTGCAACCACAACGTGAGGATTTATATTTCACGCGCGATGACACCCCTCGCTCGGAGTTGATTTTTTTTTTTTTTTTTTTTATCTCTCCAAAACAGAGCGGCGGCTTAATCTCTTCCACGCCACGGCTTCCATCTAATATCATACCGCAACACCAAATGTGATGTACTGGTTAAAATCGATAGAAAGTCAAGTTTTAAACTTTGCTTCCGTTTTGTGTTTGTTTGGGTAAAATGGCTCGTCACATCTTAAAACGACTATACTTTACCAATCCAAATATGCGCACGGGTTTACATCTATAACTCGTATCATGTGCATCACGTTTTTTAGACGTCTAAGATAACACAGCGCGTCCCCTATGATTCACGCATCCATTGTTTGCCTCTTTTGCTCGACGCAACTACATGGAATTTCCAACAGAGATACACGTGCCAATAGTATATACTAGATTGCAGAATTTATCAAAAAAGATACTCATCGCACGCGCTGACCTGATAAATTTTGTAGATCTCATTATCTATGTAGGTATATACACATGTGCTAAAATAACGTGAAAAATGTTTCGTTGCAGCGCGCCGGTCTTACGAAATTGAAGTTCTTGAACCTGTCGATGAACTCCATAAGCGAGATCGGCATGAAAGCCTTCGACGATCTGCGGGCCCTGGTCGTGCTCGATTTGTCGATGAACCACATCGACTTCATCACACCGGACACGTTCATCCACAACATGGAGCTCAAGATCCTCAATCTCTCCGGAAACAAGTTCAATCTACAAGTGCCAGTGTTACACAGCTCCTCCATCACGGTTGGTGCCTTTTTTTTTTTTTTTTTTTTTTTTTTTTCCTTCATTTACAAAGCCCAAGTGCAAACATTTTTTTTCTTCATTCATTCACTTGTACGCCAGACAGTCCTTAAGCAAACGGTAAACCGAGACGAGAGAGAAGTGCAACGTATATATGCATGTGTATACATTAAGAACTTGAGCAAACACCACGTCGTCTCAAGAGGATTGATTAAATTTCAAATTCGTCTCGCCGTGGCGCCTATCGGCCTCCGTCGAGATACGCGAGACGGCTTTTTTTTTGCAATAACTGAGAGTCAATAATGTATATTATATTGTTTGGGTAACACTACAAGTTTTATGTATGCATTACCTCGCCCCTCCCACGTTTGCCGGCCTGGGATGCTGAGACTCTCCATCATGGAAGTGGCTGCATCTCTGCTCGACTCGCGGTTTTTTCCTCCGATTCTCGATGCGGGACGCACAATATTGGCACGACCGGCGTAATCGTTTGCTTTTGACTTTCGAGACTGTGTACAATACAGTTGATGGATATTTGCAAACGCGACGTTTGTCATTGGAAAATCTTGCGAATATCCGCTGTTGCAGGACCTTGACTTGAGTGGCTGCCGGATCAATTCTTTGCCCACGGACACCTTCTTGGGGCTGAAACAACTGCGCAAACTCAATCTGTCCAACAATAAGCTCATTGGACTCGATAGGGAGGTCCTGCTCGCAATGCCATCCCTTCAGTTTCTCATGCTCGGACGGTAAGTTAACGACTTCAATTAATTATTGTAAAGTTTACAAAAGTATATAAAACGTTTACTCTGATGGAAGCTCTCCGAAAGTAAAGCATCAGGTTGTAGTATAAAGAGTAATCAATACTTATAACAATTAAACATCATCAGGTGTGGAATTAATGTTAAATTTAATTATTACATAGTATGAAAGAAAACTAGGATCTAGAAGGATCGAAAAAATGTAATGCAAATGATTTTCAAACGAAACTTTTGTGCTTAGGAACCCATGGTTGTGCGACTTTGAGTTCTACAACCTGAAGGTAGCAATTCGCAAGGCAGACATCCGCATGGACCCGGTGTGCGAGAGGCCCACTCTGGAGGCCAAGTTCGAGGAGATAATCGCTAAGACGTCGGAATCTGATATCGACGAGCCGATCATTATAAAATCGACGAAACGGCCGATCCTGGTGCCTCGAGCTGAGCTCAACGAGCACACCTGGGACACGGAGTCGTGGCGCGAGTTCGAGGAGGCGTTGCGCGATGAGCAGCCACCGATGGCCGAGCCCCGAGCCTCGAATGTCTTCGTCGCCACCCTGAACAATCTCTCGCCTTTCTGGTTCCTCCTTACCGGTTTTTTGTTCGGCAGCGTGGCCACGATGCTCTTCACCTACCTCTGGTTCTCGGATAGTGTCACCTGTCCCCGAAGGATCCGATCCTCCGAGATCGTCAACTCGCCCGAAGTCAACTCCCAGAGGGTCTCGCTGCTCAGGTATAAATCTCCACACGTAGCGATCTTTTCCCCAAAAACCAGTCACATTCGACCTGCTATTCGAACGAACGGGGATCAGGGGAACCTTTTATCTGTTCAGGCACCTTTGGCAGCAGGAAAACCTGCCGAGCTCCGATGAGGTCTCTGTCAGGGGAGGCGAAGGTGTTGGACCTACGGTCTTTCTCCCGGCCCTCGGGGCGACGGTGCCAACCTGCCCAGGCACGCCGCCACCGCCTTATCGCGAAGTGATGCTGCACTGCAATCTTTACCCAAGGGCGGCGATGGTCGCGGCTGCCCAACAGGCGTCCGGTAGAACTCTCTCCACCGAATGAACGATCGTTTTACGATTTTACTCTATGTGTGTGTTCAACGAGAACGGGCTTCGATATGTGCCTTCGAGTCGTCTTCCATGCCGATTTTTTTTTCTTTCCTTTTTTTTTATTGGAAGAGCGTTTGCCATTTGAAACTGCTTATCAATTTATTTTTAATCGTCACTCGTTTTAAGGAAGAACAAAAGCGACTCTGGACGGTCAAGTGCCTTATTCGTGTCGATTATACGTAGGATTAGGTTTTTGTAGTTACGAACCCATGTGTATACAATATTATGTTATACTGAATGAACACTTTCGTTTACTTAGATTGTTTTATTTTATTTTTTTCGTGTGCGAGTTTACTATGAATATTTTTCGACTGAAAAAAACCACTTTCAATTCGTATTACGATTATTTTAATCTGCTATACTTGAAAAAAAAAAAAAAAATTTGTTTAATAACCATAAACATTACGAAATTATCATTCTCACGAGTTCAATAAGTACAACATTGTCTACGCTCAATCATGTTCGCTGATTTTCTTGGTGATTCTATATATATATACTTTTTTTTTTTTCATAACGTTAAATTAATAGTATATACTAGA